GAAGTTTGACTTCTACTCTATAAATAAAAGAATGATAGAAAATTGCGCGAGACAATTTTTGAAACAATTTTTGCCCTAATTTGAATAGGGTGGCCGAAATTCTCTTAGAGATGGAAGGAAAAATTTTTCTCCAAAAATTCGACATCATGCATGCGTTGGTATTTGTAGAAATTTGATTGTTTATTCTAACCCGTTTTGTCTCAGGTGTGCACACACACACGTCTTCGTAGATTCTAAGAATTAACGTGGAAGACATTGGTTTTCTAAACGCAAAGCTTTGGAGCAAGGATTATTCGAGGTCAAAGAACTCAAGTTATCATCCTAATCGGCCGCCGAGCATTATTCGTAATTGAGTTCTTAATAAATGAATTAATGAGATTAATTTATTCGTGCATAAATTAATATAATCTATAGAGTATCTCAAAGGTTTTATGAAAATTTTTGTTATACACGATCCGTTTTCTTCATGCTTCCGCATCTGAATTCGATTCGGAAACCAACACATATCATGTCTAGGCCATCAGCGAGCTTACTAGGTCGCAAAATATCTTATTTTAAGAAAATATTCATTAAAACTTTAAATCAGTTCATTATGAAATCAATAGCAATAATCAAGCTATTGTCTTAAAAATACTTTTCTTTATCAAACATGTATTATCTTTAAAAATATTTACATAGGCCAAAACACTTTAAAACAAGGTTAACAAGGATATGGACAAGGATATCCTACCTCTCGGATGTCAACTCTATGGATTAACTTCACATAGTCCTAGCTCCACTTATCTTTGAAGCTCCAAATCCAATCGTGCCGCTAGCTTTGTCATCAAAATCAACGGTTTAGAGTTTAATCCTTTCCTTTAAACAATCTAGTTTAATTATATACAATTGTATCATACTAGTGTGCCTTGACTCAAATTCAAAGTTTATAAATAATTCTTAATTCAAATCATGATCCTTTGAGAATCTGAATTCAATCAAGAGAAATGGAATGGAAACAAGGATTAATATGGCTAATCCACTCACTTTAAGTTTCCAAATGAAGTTAGGTTGGTTCTACATTGAGTTTTTAGGTCAAAACATGATTTTTGAACTGTTTCAGGTCAGATTTAGTGTGCACCGGTTGACTGGTGACAGAGGAGTGTAACTCCACCGGTCTGTTGGTGGAGTGGTGACTGGTCGACCAGTGGGAAGGTTGCAGGCCAATCAAAATGGCCGAACCACGAGAAACGAAGCCAAATCCTGTAATTTTAGGTTCTATTTCAAGATATTCTCAAGAGAAATTAACAAAACCAGGTTCCAATCACAAATAGGGGTCTAAAGAATCAAAAACCCCCAATTTCTAACATGAGTTTCATCCAAAATCCATTTAAAATCAAATCTAAATCAAAATTACCAAACTCAACCAAAAATGAGTTCCACAAAGCTAGATTTAAAAAATTAAAGTGAGTTTTAAAGATTTTTATCTTGATATATGCTTTGATGTTGAAAACTTCTTAGAAATCTCCTTTTTGGTTCATATTCGATTTAAAACACCTAATGAGAGAGAGAGAACTTGAGAGAATGAGGGGAAGAGAGAGTGAGATGCAAGAGAGAGAGAGAAACAGAGAGATCCGAGAGAGTTGGAAAAACGAGAGGGAGAGAGAGAGAACAAGAAAACTGAAAGAAAAGAGGGACAGAGTGTCGCGAGAGAAAGGGAGAAAAAGAAAGAAAATTAGGGAAAGAAAAAGAAACGGGAAATATAAGGAAAAAGGAAAGATAATATTAAAGATAAAAGAAAAGGAGTGGAATTGTAAATACTGAAATTAATTTAAAATTTCTTGATTAATTAAGAAAATCAAATTAGCCATATTAATAAATCACAATTAGCATAATTAAACATGTTTAATTCTTGGGATCGTTACAATTTTAACTTTAATTTATTACTGATTGATCTTGGTCTATCATTAATTAACAATGACCTGTAAGTAATTCACTTAAAAAAAATGATTATTGGCCTAATTTTGAAGAAGATTGGCCATCTACTTAAATAAAGGTTATTGGGTCATTTAGCTTTATATCTTTTTTGTTTCAAAATTGATTTCAATACTTTTGTCTTAACATTCTGAAGATTTTATTAGTTTTTGTTACAAACTAACCACTTCTTTAAATTATTGTATTTTGATATGTTTTTTTGAATAATTTGCCAGTGTTTTGAACACTTTTATAAAATTAGAGGACATTTTTTAATAAAAATTAGAGGGCATTTTAAAATAAAATACATATTTTAGGAGACATTTAATATATTTTTTTTCAAAGTTTATTTTATGAGACATTTATGAAACCAATCTTTAAATTTTTAAAAGAGTAATTTGTACGGTGCCCCTTAACTCTTTAATAGGTGGCACTTTAATATCTCTTTTTTTAATTTTAGCAAAACAACCCTTAAACTCTTAAAACCTTGATAATTAAGTCTCTTTTATCTATTTTTGTTTAGTTTTTAACAGAAAGTGTCACATACCTTGCATGTAGTCTAATATTAGAAGATATTTTGGTAAAATAACTAACAATTTGTAATTTAACAAAAAATTAAAAATTAAAAAAATCCTCAAAAATATTTTGCAGATTTGAAAAACAAAAAAGAAAAAACTTGCTGAGAAACTAATGATATGTTTAGTAGAAGAGAGAGAGAGATGGAGGGAAGGAATGAGAGGGGTAGAGAGAGAGAAAGAGTTAATCTCTTGTTTGGTAAGAAAGAAAAAAGAAATGAGAAGGGAAAGATTAAGGGAGAAACTCTACTTTTGGGCCCACCATTTTAGATTCTTCTATTTTAATCAATCTACCCAAAATTAAAAGAAAATAACTTTCTAACAATTCAAAAGTAATTATTCACAATAATAAAATGAAAAATACAATAATTAAATAAAAAATATCATTTGATTATTATAATCCTCTATATCATTCACATTATCCATCTCTCCGACCATTTTATCATTCCTCCTTTCCATCCCTTCTAAAGGAAGCCTAAAGAGCGAGAGAAAGAAGAATCGGAGCAGGAGGGGTATTTGGATTCTCCGTTTGGTGTTCTCATACCACTCATTGCCGCTGTCGATGATGGCGTCGCCGTGCTCCATGTGGTCAGAGAGAGAGACAATCGTGATCTGTTCATTGGGAGTGTAGGATTTGACGAGGATGATGACAAATATGGGCCGTTGGATGGAAACAACGAAGTCGCAGGGTTGTACTTGCTGAAGAGAGGTAGATTTCCCCCGTTGTGGGCCCAACCTCGTCGACCTTAGAGGTGGTGCGGTTGTAGACGGAGATGGGGAATCCATTATCGACAATCTTCAAGTGTTTTTTGCTCTTTAGAATCCAACACGTGAGAAAGGTTTTTCAAGTCTGGTAAATAGAAAAATTAAAAGTCAGATAAATTATTCTGATTCTTAAAACACCTGAAATTTTTTGTGTTCGTATATATTATGTAGGCAAGGTAGGGAAGGGGAAATGTGTTATCAAAAGGACATAGAGGCAAGTTAGGATTTCCATTGTGTCAAAGTTGTTGTCTGAGTGAGTTCCATTTGTTTTACTAACCTCAACTCAGTTCAGTTCGAATAGTGAGCACAATTTAAATTCGTGTTTGGTAAACACGCAATTCGAATTATATTCTCTATTTGAACCGAGTTAAAATGTCCAACTTAGAGTTTAATTATCTCCTTAAGTTCAACTGTTCAAAGCATCTTTGAACAGTATAATGGTTCCCTCTCTTTGCTTTTCACACTGACCAAACACTAATTCAAATTTTATTACATGTTCAGATTAAAATTTTAACTGCACATCCAAACGTTAATTCAAACTACAATTTAAACCACACAGTTTGAATTTTTCTGTTCAAACAAAAAATTTCAAATCAACAAAATTCGAACCAACGAACCAAACGGGGGCTTCATCTCTCTAATTCTCTGGCTAGAAATTCTTAGCCCCTGTTTGTTTCACTAATTTAGTCCAGTTCAACTCAGTTTGAACAGTGAACACAGTTTGAACTGGCGTTTGGTAAGCATTCAGTTTGAATTATATTCTCCGTTTGAACTAAGAACAACCCAACTTAGAGTTTAGCTCCCCCCTCAAGTTTAAACGTTCAAACCATTTTTAAACAGTCTAAAGTGCACTCTCTTTCTGCTTTTCACACATACTAAACACAAATTCAAATTTTATTCCCTATTCAAATTAAAACTTTAACTACACATCTAAATGTTAATTCAAACTATAATTTAAATTATACAGTGTGAATTTTTCTGTTCAAATTAAAAAATTTAAACTAGCAAAATTCAAACCAATAAACTAAACGGGCTAAAGTATTTGCTTTTATGTGTGGGAAGCTTATTTGGCCAGAGAAAAATGCAGTTATCAGTTATCTATAGGTAGGTCCAAAGTTGTTGAAGAGGGTCTCTCTTTGTGCTTTGGAATATGGGAATATTGTTCTGGCAACTTCTGATAGTTTTTCACCTATTTGGACTCCCCCTCCTCCATGGGTCAATCTTAACTTCGACGTGCAATCCGTAAAGAGTTCTTTGTGTCATTTGGGTGGAACTTCTGCTCCCTTTTTTTTTCTTTTTCAATGAATTTTCACTTTTATATAAAAAAAAAGTGTATTTTAGTCTTTTCATTAGAAAGATTTCATGATGGAGACACCACAATATTCTTCTGTTAAGAATTCTTTAGATTTGAGAGTTTAGGAATTATTTTGTTAAAATTAAAAAAATAAGGAGACTAAAATGTCAATTAGTAAAAAGTTGAGGGACTGTTAGAGTAATTTGCACTTTTTAATATGCCTATCAAATAAATTGAATGGTGTTTAGTTTGATAATTTAAATTTTTAATTTAAATTAAGACGTAATTTTATGTGAAAATTTTTTATTATAATAAAAAATTAAAAAAATTAAATGTAATTATTTTTAAATTTTTTTTATTATAATAAAACTTAAATCGGACAACCAGAGATCGAATAAAAACATTTCCTACCCATTTTGTACAACAACAGCGCCTAGCTTGATCGTTTCCTCATCTCGCAGGAGATCAAAACTATTGTATAATTTTCATGATCTTCAACAAGAAAAGAGACCTCTCTTTCCACCAGAAATGTAAAACCTTGAAAATGCCAACTAAACTCCTCTCACAGTTCTTTCCATGGCTTCTCTTCGTCACCCTTTCTCTCATCTTTCTCTACTCCTCTCTCCTTCCCTTCCATTCTCCTCCTTCTCCAACTCAACCTCTCAAAAACATCCCCACTTCACCCAACGCCAAATCCAAATCCAAATCTTTGAAAAATGCATGCAATTTCTATAAAGGCCATTGGGTTTTCGATCCCGCTCGGAGACCCATCTACGACGAGACGTGCCCTTTTCACCGCAACGCTTGGAACTGTCTGAGGAACAAGAGGGACAACATGGGCAACATCAATTCTTGGAAATGGATGCCTAAAACGTGTGATTTGCCGAGGATCGACCCGTTTCGGTTTCTGGATCTGATGAGAAATAGGAATATTGGGTTTGTCGGGGATTCTTTGAGTGAGAACTTTTTAGTGTCGTTTTTGTGTGTTCTTAGAGTGGTTGATTTGGGTGCCAAGAAGTGGAAGAAAAAAGGGGCTTGGAGAGGTGCTTATTTTCCCAAGTTTAATGTCACTGTTGCTTATCACCGGGCTGTTTTGCTCGCCAAATATGAGTAAGATCGTCTTTTTTTTTCATTGTTTCTCTTTGCCAATAATAGAAAAAGTTTTATTGTTTTTTGCCTTGGAAATTAAATGTGACTGATTTTGATAGGTGGTGTAAATGTTGAGGAAGTAGACAGAACTGTATTAGCATTGCAAATAAATGTTGGAAGGCTGACTTGAAATTTGTTTTGTTGTGCTTTAGAATGTTCGGTTGTTTTGTTTTGGGAATTAGGATTTACTCAAAATTAGTGAAATAAAGCTGGATTATGGGGTGCAGTATGTAACCACCATGTTCTCTAAGCTACTGCATACTTTTAAGAGAAAAATATGTAATGTGTATGTTTCATGTGATTTTATATGTATCTGTTAAGGGACAGCAATCCTAGTCATAGTTTTCATACTAATGAGGGACTGAATTAGAAAGAAAACAGTTGTTATGTCTGTTTTGCGATCTTTATGTTGTGTAACCGTTGAGGTTTCTTTTTTTTTTTCCCCTTTTCTTTTTCGGGTGGGTGTTATGATTTGTGATTTTGTCACCCGTCCTCATAAGGGTTCTTGTTTATTGCATTATTTCTAGTGATTTATGCATATTAAATTGTTTTTTCTAATTAGTTGGATTCAAGTAATTAGTGATGTTTATTCTTGTCTCCCCTCACTTTTGCCTGGATTCTAGTGGGATTGATAATTTTCTTTCACGATCTTGTTGTCTTTGTTTTGTTCATCACATGATAATCTCACATGCTCATTACTGATTAACTCAAGGTGGCAGCCAAAACAACCTTCAGATTTCAGTCAAGATGGATTGAAAGGAATTTACAGGGTAGATGTTGATACCCCAGTGGATGATTGGGCCCATGTTGCTGATTTCTATGACGTCCTTGTCTTCAACACTGGCCATTGGTACTTCCTTTTCCTTTTGCTAATTCAAAGAAGATGTTGGTGGCGAGCTAATTTTTTTTCTCCATTATATATTTCAAAGTTTTGTTATTGCATGTGCAATGATTCAAGGTGGAGAGTTCGGTTAACGGCATTATGACAATATTGGCATGTCAAGTGCCAAATATGTTGTTGTGACCACCCTTGTAAAGGACGTGTTTGTGGAGGAGGCATATCTGCGACATTTTAGTTTTCTCATTTGTATGAGAAGTTACAGGACCTCAAATATGTTTGTATATTTCTTTTTCTCTCATCAATGCTGATACATTAGCACCATGCTCCTTACCATCTTTGATATCTTGCATTTCTGTTTCTAATAATTTCTTGGAGAAACTCTTTCCCCTTTTTTGGCATCAGTAAACATAGCTGCGTTTCACTTATGCTGTCCATGAATCTCCTTTCTTCATTAGTTAGCTACTAAATAAAGTACCAAAGAGTTTTCATTCCTGCACTTCCAAATTTCAGTGCATCATTGCAACCTGCTACATGGTGCTAGTTATTTCTACCATCCTTAACATGGTTATCGTGACAGATTCTATTTCAATTAATGTCTGTGGAAAGTAGCCTGGAAATACTTATTAATTGTCTTCACTAGGTGGGGTTCTGATAAATTCCCAAAAGAGACACCCCTTGTTTTCTATCAGTCAGGTCAACCGATAATTCCTCCGCTTGAGATGTTGGATGGACTTAAACTAGTTCTTCAGAATATGGTTTCACACATACAAAAGGATTTGCCCCAAAAAACACTCAAGTTCTGGCGCTTGCAATCTCCAAGGCATTTCTATGGTGGTGACTGGAATCAAAATGGCAGTTGTATGTTCAATAATCCTCTTGAGGAGCCTGAGGTTTGACTCTGACGATAGCTCCTATTAAATTTGCATTTGTCACAATTTATGTATCACAAACTTGAAACTTCTTGGATTATTTTCGAAACAAATGTTGTTTTCCCCTAATTTTTCTTGGAAGATTCTTTTCCTGAGAAAATTAGATCGTGATATTTGGACAGCTCGACTTGTGGTTTGATCCTAGAAACAATGGAGTGAATAAAGAAGCAAGAACTCTGAATCTTCTGATCCAAGATGCACTGCAAGGCACAGAAATCAAATTGCTTGACGTGACTCATCTGAGTGAATTCAGAGCAGATGCCCATCCAGCCATATGGTTGGGAAAGAAAGATGCGGTAGCAGTCTGGGGCCAGGACTGCCTGCATTGGTGCTTACCTGGTGTTCCGGACACATGGGTTGACATCTTATCAGAACTTATCCGAACTGGGTTTGAGACATGAATGGATGAACAGTGAAAAAATCCCACATAAGATTTCAAGTCGAATATCCTACACAGTTGCAGGTAAGCAGATTTGAGCAGATTCTTTCCAGTTGTGGAGCTTAGCCAAGATGAACTGCTTAACTAGAGACTAGGACAGCTTTCTGACAGATGAAGCTTGTTCCTTCCTTTGTAGAGATCAGAGAGGAATAGTACAGCCGCAAATTTGAATTGTCTTGGAATCCAAGGAATTGAGGAAAAAAAAAAAAGTGTAGCAACCAAGTAACATTTTATTTGATTTTTTTTTCTTTTTCCATTGGTCAATTTTGATACCTTCTATTTTTTAAATTATTCTTTTTCATCATTATTGAGATTTGAGAAGGCAAAAGGTAGTTGTTGGATGACCCGTATGATTATGGCGTGGGCTTCTACATTATTTTATTTTGGTGTTAGTACTCTTTGTATCCTCTAATGCTAGCTGCTTAGCATGTAGAACTTAGAAGCTACTCTTTTAAACGCACTCCTTTGTATTTTTTTAAAATTTTTTTTAACAATGTGTATTAAAATGATTGTTTATAGTATCATTCTGAGCGGCTGCCTAAGGCATCATTCCCTAATACTCGACAGCAACTTCTATCCTATTAATCAATGATCACATAGCTTTTTCCTACAGGTTTTTTTTTTTTTTTTTTTTTTTAAGTGCTTCGAGCTATCCAACGGTCATCAAGCCGGAGCCCGGAATCGAATATCATTAATGATATTAAGGGTTATCTTTCACAAACACAAACTGGTATTTTTTGCTACAATTCTCGTGATAGGAACTTAGTAGCTCACTTTCTTCATTCTTGCTAATTTAGCTTTTACTATTTCTACTGATTCAGTTCATAAATTTTATTTTCTCCTAAAAAAAAGATGCAGATTGCAATATGATCTTTAAATATCTTCAAAAGAATGGTCTTTCTCGTCGTTAAAATTGGTGATTTTCTATTCATGAAGACAGATCTTCTAGAAGAAAAACACTAATCCTGTTTTTTTTTTTTTTTAGAACTCAAGAACCAACGGTTTTAAAGACATGAACCTCTTTTGTTTGTTTATTCTCCCAAAAACCAAAATTTACTGTCGTTCAGTCGTTTCCCTTTTTTTGTTGGTAACTTGTCGTTCCCAAGCAGTCAATGCTGAAATTTTAGACGGGCCGTCCGCGACCGTCTGAAAATACTGATTTTGTGCCCGATGCCCGACCTGACCCACTCAAAATTTTTAGGCCGCCCGCCCGAGCCCGAGAAGGCCCGTGGACGGGTTGTGGGCCTAGCTTTGGCTGCTCGAGCCCGGTCGGGTAGCCCGAGCCCGCCTGAAATGCCCAAAAAAATATATTTTTTAATTTTTATAATTATTAAGTTATTTTGTGTTAAAATTATATAAAAACTAAAATCAACATTCAACACACATTATTAACACAATTTAATAAATTAATTTTGTATATGTTAATAAATTAACAGTTTAGGGTTTAACAAATTATGTTTAGTGTTACTTTCATTGTCGATCTCCTCAATTCTGTCGAAGTGATCCCAAACTGTCGAGGTGCGCTTGCATTTCTTCCTGGAGGTTGCAACACTTGTAGACGCAGTAGCACTTGCACTCGCCGCTTCCCCACGCCCACCACCATTGCGACCACGACCTCCAATGCGTCTACCAGGGCTCGGATTAGTACTTTCCTGCGTAATAAATTCATTAGTGGGAAATTACCCTTCTTTCACATTGTGTTAGGCATCAACGGGAATACCACTATAACCAAAAGAATCCATTATAAAAAAATAAGAGCGATTTGAGAGAGAGAACTTTAGGATATTGTGATAGCTTTAGAAAAAATTATGAGAGAGATTTGAGAGATTGAGAGAAATTGAGAGATTGAAGAAATGGAGAGGGATTGAGAGAGTTTGAGTGAGGAAAATGTGTGAGTGGTATTTATAGAGAAATTTTTGGGGTAAAAAATTAAAATTTTTCCCTAAATTCGGATCCAACGGTTATTTTTTTTTCCAGCAGGTCGAGTTCGGGCAGGCTCGGGCAGAAAATTAGGCAACGGTCAAAAAAATAGTCATTGGGGTCGGGCTTCGGGTTGGGTTGGGCACTAACGGTCAAAATTATATCCGTTGGTCGGGCTCGGGCTTTAGGCAATTCGGGCAAATCGGGCCTGACCGAAAAAATTCAAAAAAATTATGGCGGACGGCAGTTGACAGTGATGACACGACAGCGGACTCCGGCGAGTTGTCTATTTTTGAGTTGCCTAAGCCCGAGTCCAAAAAATAAAATTAGACGGGCCGGCATTTGGGCCCCGCCGAACCTGAAAAATTCAGACCTCGGGCCGGCCCGCCGGCCCAAAGTTCCAACACTTTGAGCTCTTAAAAAAAAATGCCACGTCGTTTCTCCAAAAATATTGTCGTTTCCAGTCGGCACGAAAACAAAAACAAAAATTCCTTTCCTTCCCAGCATTCCAATTTTCATCCCTTGAAGAAATTTACCAATCCAATCAACAGACTCGAAAGCATCCACCAGCTCCGTAACTAAAACCCTAAAAATGTCTCTGATAATCCCCCTCTCTCCAAAATTTCCAACACTTGAACCTCAAAAACTCAACACCCGTAATTACATATACAATCTAATTGGCAAAAGAAGCAAAACCAAAATCAAATGCTCGGACGCAGATCTGGCGTCGAAATTGGCGAAAGAAGTGGCGAAAATGAACACCCTTTTGGTCGAGAGAAACGAGGCAATGGAGAAGAGCAGAGATCTTCTCTTCAGAGAGCTTTGCAATTACCTTTCCATGGAGGCCGAGGAGGTCAAGAACAAGTGGAAGAAAATGGAAGATGAGGAAAAGTGGGTTTTGGTTGAAGGCTTTGTTTCGGATTGGGGTGTCAATTTTCATCCTTTGTCTGCCAGGTCTGTCAAGGAATTGATTCAACAACATTTGCAACGACAACAAGAAAATGATTCTTCCGAGGTTTCTCATTCATCATTGTTTCCGAGTCTCAAGAAAATCATGGGTTTTTCGCAAAACAAATGATTGCCCTCTTGATTACCTTTGTTTTTGGCAACTTTGCTACTATTACCTTTGTTTAATTTTGTCATGTGGATATGGTTTCACGCATGGTGTAAATTTTTTTTTTAATACAATAATAATCATGTTATGGAAGATAATATGGAAATAGCGTTTCTCCCATTCATCTGAAATTGTTTCGAATATTAGTATTTAATATAACTATTTTTTAAGGATTTCTGTTACTTGGATACGATATGATCATCTCTATTACGTTTTAAAAATTTGAAGGGTTGTTCTAAAGTGTAATTTGAGTGTAATTTTTGAGTTGAATTTGAGTTACAACTTAAGTTGAAGTTGTAACTTGAATAAAGTTGAATAAAGTTAAATAAAGTTGAAATTTAAAAAAACGTGAACTTGAATAAAATTAAAACTTGAGTTATTTTTTTTTGAATTTTTTGGACAAAAGAACATGCCTAATCAATTTGAATGTCTGGAAAACTGATAAAAGATCAAAGTTCGCGGAGTAATCTGTCAACAACAAAAAAATTCAAGGAACAAAGTTAGACAACGTCAACGATTCAAGAACCAATGGTACAAACAATCTATTTTAATTTGAATTAAGATGTGACATTTTTAAAAAATTTTAATTATAACAGAAAAAATTAAATTAAATGTAACATTTTAAAAAAAATTTTAACTATAAAAATTTAAAATTAAAACCTTAAATTAGTAAAATAAATTAGGCCTAATATTGTTTCTAACTTTTTATACAATGGAGCTGGTCCCATTTTTTTTTTTTTTGTCTAAACCGTACAGAAGAAAAATATATTCAATGTGATTTCGGGAAAAGGCTGAACTTTGAAGCGCTACTTAAAAAAAGAAAAATAATAAATTTGATATTTACTAATGATAAATCTCATAAAATTACATCTAAATATTTGCTTCACTAACAGTAAAGATGGCCATTTAGTAAAACAAAGCAAGACAAAAAAAAAAGGACCATTTACTACAATTTTGCTTCCTACCTAACCAGATAATGGGAAAATGAATAAGCTGAAATTAAGGAGGCAACTGCAGTTTCTTTGTTGAATTTCACCCGGATAGTTGAAGGCTCTCTTGACCTTGGTAGCATAGGCAAGTCGATATACAATATTTTCAATTGTATGATCATTTTAAAATCAGAACATAAATTTAGAAAGAATTCTTATGTACAACCACAATAGATGAAATGCACCAATATCATTGATACAGATGATTTCGACTTGTAAGAAAGAGAGATTCATAAACTTTCAGAAATATATCTGCCTGCACTGAGCAACTGAAGCCTCTGCCGGACAATAAGGACATTTAAATGTTCTTGTGCTGCTCTTTGACAGCTTCATGATGGACTGCTTGCAGAGCACATGTAAGCATGGCATCAACATCGGAGGATTCTCATCACTGCTTTGCTCTCTGCTCACGGGACAAACAAATGTTGAATGGAACTGAAATTCCTTGCCCAATTCAACTGGTACTGGTAACTGCCTCATTGCATGCCAATCTTGCTTCTTAGCAGCCATTACGTTTGCCAGCTTCAACAGAGTAGGCAACCCTTCAAATCCAGCGGCTATTGCCACGCCTAACGGGCTGTTGGAGGACTGCCCGAGAAGACTGCAGAACTGATGGATAACCTCCTCGGTCGATTTCTCCCAATGGGTTGGTGACCTTAACTCTGAATATGGAGAGTTGGCAAGCCTTCCCCGAAACGCAAGGCACCCCATAAGCTTCATGATATCATCCTTGTAAAGGAAAGCAAAAGGAGCAAGGTAGGTTTTGGCATAGTTAAGTGCATCACTTTGGCTTCCATTCTGTAATATTTCCATGTACTGAAGACTGTGAAGTTTAAGCTCAAGATCAGAGCCATTCTGCGTGAGCTTTTCTCGGTTAGCGTATACCCATCTCAGAGCAGGCTCAAGGTTTCTAACCTTCATGGCCTCGATTATCTGATGCATTTCCAAAAACTGATATTTTAAAATGGCTGCCTCAGGTACTCCTGCCTCATTTATAATGCTATCTCCAAGATCAAACCAGCCTTGCTGGTAAAAATGGTTTGCAATGATTTTATTAACAATATGGTGGTCAAAGTCAACATTGCTGTATGCTTTGGATACATCGGGATTGAAGGTTTTCTCAAGGAGTTTAGCGTATTTGCTGAGGTTTACGTTTAGTTCCTTCTGTGAACCTTCCAACTGTTGCAGTGGAGCAATTGCATTGAGTCTGTGTTTAAGCTCTGAAAGAATGGACTTCTGATCAACAGGGGAGGTGGGGTCATGAGGTGACAGAATTTGTGCGATTGCCTGTTCAATTTCATGGCCAACTTGATCAATTACTTCATGAGATCGTGAAGATGATAGCTTTTGCTTCTTAACAACACGATCAAAGGCATCTTTGACTGTATTTAGCTCCATTTTTCAAATTGAACAATTAGCTCCTGCAACAAAGTGATTGCGAAAATATTATGATCCCGAAGCAGCAAACAGCAGGCGACTTATGCATTCTAAATTGAGAACCATTTAGAAGATTAAACATTCCAAAACACAAGATATCATATGTAAAAGGCCAATCACTGAACATTTAGAAAAAAAAAAAAAGTAAAAAGGACCTAATGAACGAGGGAATTTGGAGAAAAAGGGATAATCTTATGGCCCAAGGTTATGAGCATCAGCTATATATAATGAATTAAATTAAGAATAGTAGGAATAATGTACTAGGACAGAAGTTCGTACTAAAGTTGGAGTGGAGCATTACCAAGGATCAATTTTTACCTATAGCTAAACTTATTTTCTAGACCAGGGTCAAGCTACATGGAAGTAGATTCAAAAACCTTCTATTCCAAATTATGATATCCAAACCTTGAGTAAACAGAAAAAGAAATTGTATGTCACTATGGAAGCAGTTAATAATGGAATTCTTATTTTCTAAAAGTACGTCACAATCATAATAGAATAAGAATAACTCACTCAGATGTTAAGAATCAAGTACAATCAACTACTAAACTTAATTAACTAGACAGCTTGAGCATCATGATTCACTTTTTTTTTTTTTTCCCCTCCCCTTAATATCCTATTGATCTCCCAAAATAAAATGGCATGCTCAAGTATAAAACTACAAGCCGCCAAACCCATAACCTTTGGGAAACATGGAACTCAGTGGATCTTTACCAGGTAAGAAGCGACAAGGAAAAATATATGAACATTAAAATTAAAAATGTGTTTATCTATTAGTTCTTTTTTTTTTTTTGATAAAGTATTAGGATTTACTTTAAGTTCATTTTATTATTTGGTTATGCTTATCTTATTATTAAGTTTTATTCATCTATAAATAGACCGAGTAACTGTATTTTTACTTTAGACCTTGATGATTATTATTAAATATACATATATATTTCCTCTCTATTGTCCTCTCTTCTTCATAAATTCACCGTTTGTTTCTCTCTTCTTTTCGCTACTTTCTTCTCTCTTTCCTTATCTATCTTGGTCCTACATTAGGTGATCTTGAGGAGTTGACCTTTGTCAATGTGGAAGCAAATTACAGGCCTGACCACACAACTAACCTTTTAGTGTTAGTACCACAATCTATAAAACGTGCTTAGTGCTTCAAAATACAGAGGGCAATCATTTTCTTCTGGACATAACATATATACAACTTGTTTAATGCTTCAAAAGTATAAGCTGCAGCGCAGCAAACCCTCAAAACTCTAGGCTATAATGACGTTTGGTGAAGTTGTAATACAAATTACAAACCAGCTATGATCTATAACGGACTAAAAATTCAAGTGACTATCAATGTTAGTTTACTTGGATGCCACGCTGTCAAGTTTGCGAAATGCCCAGTTTTCATTCGCAGTCTTTTACAAACAATGGCAAAATACAAAAATTTGAGAACAAATCCGGTTTAATAATAATTGCAAATAAGTTGTTTAGAGTATAAAACTCAATTTGTTATAAGGCTTCATCTTATTCATGCTGAATTGCAAACATTCTTAAACAAGGCTTCCCACGAGCCGAGTTCAGGCATAAGACTGTCCTTTTCCATCCTTAAACAAAAGAAGCATCAAAATTTCTTGCTTCTCTAATTACACAGGAAAACATAGGTGAAACACACTCAGGATTGAAAAAATTTAAAATGATGGAAGATCTTTTACTGCTATTAAAAAAAATACCAAATTTACTACTATTAGAAGATAGCGCAGTAAATTAGTAATCAGCTCTGATTATACCCCCTAAAGTTCACTTCACTCTAGCAGCACATAAATATTAGAAAAAAAAAATAAAACAAAACAAAGATAGTCATGCTGTACTTCTTTATATATAATAATGGTCCAGAACAGAAACTTCAATAAAGAGAGAAGGGATACCTTTCTTGGCCCTCACTCACAATACCCTGTGTCCAACAAACTATTTCCTGAAATGAACCAAAAGAAAAGAGTTAAAAGAACTATAAAGTCCTAAAAGAAAGAGATAAGGGAATTTTGTAAACTATTCATATCACCAAAGAAAAATAGAATAAAATAAAATTCAAGAATGCCAAAACCGAATTGACAGGAGCAATTGGCAAAAGTGCAAACCGAATTTCGCTACTTTTGAATTTGTCTACTTCAAACATAATCGAAAGAAATGAAGAACAGAAGAATTATTGAAATTTATACATTTTGTAGCCCAAGTAAAGAAAAATCTTTACTCCGAAATCCAACTACCTAATACCAATTCGAAATCCGAACTCATAATAGCCTCGGTTTGACCAATAACGCAACAGAAAAGAAATAAAAAGAAAGGGAAATAAAATAAAAATCTTTGGTTCGATCAACAAACCTTGAATCAACTATGTGGCGAAGAAAGCTCGGCACAGCTCGGAATTCCTCTGTTTTCTTGAGAATCAGACGCAGTTCGCGATCGTAACATCAAAAACTACGAGAATTAAACAAAACTGGCAGAAGAATTCAACGGAGTTGAGATGAAAAAAAACAAAGAAGAAAGAAAGAGAGGAATTGGGAAAAATGGAATTTGGAATGGGAGAAATGGAGGCGCGTTGGCAGAGGAGCGGAGAGCCGAGGGGGCGAAGATGGCAAAGCGTGCGAGTTTTTGTGAGGAAGAGATCAGAAATCCTTGGTTGCACACGTGTGAATTTTCATGTGCTTTTACTCGAGTTACCCTCTCTTTTTTTCTTATGCCGTTTTTATCCTTTTGGATTCCATGACCATATTACAAGCCAAAGATTTTCAATTCAGCAAAAAAGGCAGCAAAAAAAAAAAAAAGGCTAAAGATTTTCAGTGCGGTTAGGGACTTAGGTTGGCTGCGGTGTGTCCAATGATTTGCCGTGTCACCAATTGAGGCGTTATGATTGGCTAAATATTAAGGGGGCGTTTGGTATACAGTAATCAACATGAATTAAATACTTGAAAAAGTGATGGTGGGTAATATGATTCTCTGAAAACTTGCATTATCATGTTTGTTTATGCGTCTAAATCTTTTGTCAGATTTTTAAGAATATTATTTTATAGTGTTTGGTTGTGCACAGTAATGTAATGTAATTTCTTTTATAAAATTAAACATTTTAAATAATTTTAAACTATTTATTTAATTAATGTGACGTTTGGTAAGGGGATTCGTACCCTAATTTGAATCATGATTCATGGTTTGTTACAGTATTTTCTCTTATAAAAAATACACATAAATCAAAAATAATTATAATATCATGATTCTAATCCATGAACCAAACGTCTCTTAAGTGATTATAATTTTGACACATTAGATTTAAAAAAATATAACAAACTAAAAAAAACTCTCTCTCTCTCTCTCTCTCTCTCTCTCTCTCCCTCTCTCCCCCTCTCCCTCTCATCCTCCCCCCCCCCCC